GCATTCTTTTCAAGGAACTAAGATACCAATATGCAATGTATCCACTATTGTAATTATCGTACTAAGCTCTTCCATTGTTTTTTTTTTTTTTTTTTAAATCTTTGTTCTGTTTAAAATTTTAAAAAGCCCAGTTTGGACTGTCCAGTGAGGTCTTGTCTTCAAAACAGAATTGAACCAAACAAAACAATAAATAGGTAATATATTCCCATAAGAATAAATTATAATAAAGAGTAAATTATGATTCCAATATTAGTGAAAGTATATTCTTGATTCCAAAGTTCATTCTGATACATGGTTTCTCTTTTATCCATCATCATTCCCACCCTTCCAACTTCACTTTCTGGAAAGTATGGCTCCTTGAGGTGGTATTCATCATTTTAATTATTAAGAAAATACACAACTTTTGGAATAGATTCTAACTATTTTGTAAATTTTGGCTGCCAACACTGATTGATAGTGGGATCTGTACACTTGGTAGGTTTGGCATTAAGTTGTCCAAAGAAATTAGAAACATTGTGAGACACTTTTGGTCCATTGAAATATCTCTCGCAGAGTGCAGTTGGGAGTAAATGGTTTGTGCTGGGAGCAGTCTGCAGTGGACATAGCCACTTTGCATGAAAAACAGCACACTTGGTTTTTCTTACTTTCTAGAAAACTATGGTTATTCAGACAGACCTTAAATATTAGCATATTAAGAATGTGCTTGTGTGTGTAGTGTTTCTCTTCCTTTCCTCGCAAGACAGTTACAGAGAAGGGCAAAGTCCCTGGAGCTTTGCTGCCAGTGCTTTGATGCTGCTGGTTCTACCGCTTACTAGATGAGCAACTCTGCATGAACTACTTAATTTCCCTATGCTTTTTTTTTTTCTCTTTTTGTCTAGTACAATGACATAGTGACTGGGGACTTTACAAGCTTCTCATTGAAATTAGATGAAGCAATATATTGAAAATTTAAAATGAGTAGCATAGTAATTGACACAAGCAAATATTTGGATAATCCCTATGGTTACAAAACTTCACCCACCTCTCTTTCTCTCTCTGTCTCAAATGCACTAGCTATAAGGAGCAGTTCAGTGAAAACTGGGTGAGTCATGTTAGCCAATCCCTTATACTGGCCCTTCTTGAAGTTATTTCTCAGGGATGAGCAGACTAGAAGAGACAAAAACATGAAACTTGGAAAATTCTATATGATAGTGATACAGAAAAAAGGGAAAAAATTAAAAATGAATAAAAATACCCTATCATCTGCAATTCACAGAATATTGATCTAAAAGGGACTTTTAAAAGTTAACATTTTACTACTAGGACTGGTTCAGCAGCTCACTAATACCACTAAGTATTGTACATTTTTTCTTCTCTGCTTCCTTGGCATTATCAGTATTGTTACCATTTGGCAGGTGGGTTCTTCTCTCAACACAGAAAGAGTTACAAGGTAGAGTCAAAGGGGAACTGAGCCAAAGTATTTATTGTAGTAATGATGAGTGACCATTAATTGTAACATAAAACAGAACAAAGACTTACTTTACAGTAGTATGAGTATTTCATTTCTGGGTAGAACATCTTGCCAATCCAATGCGGTCTTTGTTTGCTGTGCCTCTAGTGCCCTGACCTTGGCCCTCCTGTCCTTTACTGAGCCATCCTTGCTTCCCCCTTTGGCTTGGCCTTTCCCTGGCATCCTGTAGCTCTCTTGGCCAGGACACTCGCCACCAACCTCTCCCTTCAAGGACCGGTATTACTGTGAGAAAACTTCGCACCCTCCCACAGAACCTTGCTAGTCCTCCACACCTTATGTTTTACAGAAACTGATTGTTGAGATGGTTGTTGGGTGCCTCTTGTTAGGTTAGGAAAATGAAACCCAACTGTGGAGGCCTCGTGGTTCCTTTGTCTCTTGCTGTCTCCCTGCTTCAAGTAATATTTGCTTTTTGGTTATAATAAAGATTACTTCTTTCTAACAATATGTGAATCTGAAAGAAAAGCGTCAGTAGAAAAAAATGCTTTTCTTTCATCTCTCCTTTGCTTCCTCTCCTTTTCCCCTTCTCCTCTTTTTTAACCAAGAAGCAAAAATGTTGCAGAAGCCATGCCAGCATTTTCTCCTGTCCACTCCTTCCACAGTCCTTGTTAACAGCCCCACTGCTGTACAAAAGTAGAAGCTGCTGATATATGCTCTCCCTGCTCCATTCCTGGCAGAGGTATTCATGACCACAGTTAGGGGTGTTGGAGGCTCTTTACACTCAGATGAATTTAACTTTGAGTTTCCCTTTATTGGTTTAATAATATCCCTTAGTTATTGTAGGCTGATCAGGTCTGCAATCTCCTGAACAAGTGTATACTGAAAATTAAATAAAAAGAGGCAAATGGAATGATTTCAGGCTCCAGGAGGCTCAGAGCCCTCTCACAGAATTAGAGATTTTCTTAGGGCTAAGACCAAGACCTTCTCTGGATGGCCCACATTTATTTAGTTATCTGCAAGAATGCACAAGAAAGGTGGATTTACTCATGGACTTCTACAAATAAAGTATTAAGTGAATCGACCCTGGAGTGAGATGCCTGAGGCTACAGTCTTTATCTAGTTGAGATAGGATCCAGGTGTCCTTGGCTGTGATCTTGTCTTATCCTTTGTGGCTTCTGGCTTCATCACCACTACAGGTTTTAGTAGGGATGAGTGACTCACAGATGTTCACTTACGAAGAGTCTGCCATTTCCAGACAAGTAGCGTAGGCCTTGGGAAGATTCACAAGTGAACATGAAAAGCCAATTGGTTAATTTAAGTTCTGCTCGGGTCTGCTTCATAGTGGTCTCCATCACCTACAGCCTCAGGAGACATTTCACCAGGGATTCTTCTCTTCCCTCACTGAGAAATACTGAGTGCTGTGTTGATATAAAGGCCTGCCTTTCTTGCCTTAAATTAGGAAAAATCTCAACATCATCCCAACACTGGTCCAAGCCAGCATCACCTTTGCCTGCATGACTACAGCAGATTCTACCAGGTCTTCTTACTTCCTTTGTTGCACTTTGATGGCCTATTCCCAATACAGCAGTCAGTGATCATTTTTAAAACACCAGGTCAGCTTCCTCTCCACTCTAAAACCCTACAGTGATTTCAGTTTTGCTCAGAATGAAAGCTAAATTCCTAATGTTGACACCCCATCCTCAACTTACACTGGTTCCCCACTATGACATCTATCTCCCTACCTTCTCCTGCTGTATGCCCTTCTCTTGTCTCCCTGCTCCAGCCACAGTGACTTTAGCTGCTGTTCTTTGAAAACAATGACAGCTTTCCATCTAGGGGACTTTTTTTTTTTTTTTTTTAAAGATCATTACTAGCTCATTCCATAGCCAGGAATATTTTTCTTTTCATTACTTATGTGGTTATCCTCCTGGTCTTCTTCAAAACTCTTGCTCAGGCCCTTGTCTTAATGAGATTACCCTCATATATCAGGTTTAGTTTGTCAGTCTTCCTCCAGTTCCTATCTCCTAGGATGTTCTAGATCCTCTAACCCCTCTCTACATGGTGTAGTTCCCACATCACTTATCACTTCCTCTTTTCTTATACCTGATCAATCTGTTGTTGTGTATGTTATGTTTTTTGTTTATATGGTCACCTGTATTAGAATTAAACTCCATCAGGATAGCCATTTTATTATCATGTATTATTATTTTCATTCAATGTTATATCCCAGTGCAGACTAATACTAGCAACTCTCCAGGAAGCTTCTATTTCTTTCTTCTTGGACAGGCGCTGTATCTTTGATCCCTGTTGTTCTGTGGCTTCTGAACTGAACAACTACTGGCTCCTCCAGCTCTCCAGCACACAGACAGCCACTGTGGACACTCTCACCTCTGATCCTGTTAGCCAACCTAATAAATTCTCTTGTATAGTTATAGATTGCATAAATATATATACCACATTAATATGTGAAGTATTTTAATTGAAGATAATTAGACTTGTTTATTCATGCAGTCTGACACTGTGTGCTGCATATAGTTCCTAAATTACACCTGATGCTTTAACAAATATGTCCATTAACTGATTTTATAATGAATGTCTCAGTGCCCATGCATGTGGGTTCTATGTTAGTTCATTTCACTGTGTTAAGGATTTCTGCACGTTTTCAGTCCTCCTACTTACCAAAGCATGGCAGGTCAAATATTTATGTTGGATACCAGCACTCATATTTTCTACAAAAACCCAGGCTCCATGCATAAAGATCTCACTCAAAAAAAATTTGAGTCTTCTATTATACATTCAAGATGCAGTTTCAAGGAAAATGAAGAGAATTTAGTTTGTGCCATATGACATTTATTTGTTGGTATATTAGGAAAAATATTGATAGACTATGTTGTCAATTTTACAATTATTATTCTATGGTTGTCAATTGTATAAATCATGGCAAGGTATAGTTATTGAGTATTACTACTCTCATGAAAATTCTATATAATTATCAGAATTACATGATAATATAATTATATGATAAATAAGGTTCAGCAACTATTCCTTACCATGATATAACATGACTTTAAAATTATGCATTGATACTGCTATAGTATTGTTGAATACAATAGTTATTGGGTACTATCTTCAATAATGTTATACAGTCAGAACAATAAAATAATTTTAAAATTAAAATTCCCTTTTTTCAACTGCCTGACCTCATATATGAACTCAATCAATCCATCAATTTATTTGTGACTATTTTTTGCTGTTTTCTTCTTTTTTGATCATCTTTCACTGAGAAGAGACTATTTTCTTGTGTTAGTGTGTTCATTTTTATTTCCTTGACCTTTCTGAGAGTCCATTTCAACTTTCATTTCTCTCTTTTCTTGGTCCTCCTTCTCTAGATATTGGAATATTCCTATTCTGTATGCCATAATGTCTAAAACTCAAACTCAGAATTGAGAACAATAAAGAAAATTATTCAAGCTTCTCACAAACAAAACTCTCAATGTTCTAGAATAAAAACTACGAATGAAGTATTAGAAGAAAAGAAAATTTCAAACTCAGATATCACATTATAGCCTTTAATGGGGTAAAAAAGAGACAAAATTTGACAAGAAGACATAAAAGATTATGGTTCATTCAAGATCTGTAGTGTCACGATTCTCCGGGTTGATACAGAAGAGGAGCTTGTTAAAGTAACAGATTTCCACCTAGGATTTAAAACACAGTTTAAACACAGAATAAATGTGTGTTTGTATATGTATATATAGTTGAATAGTTACAAACCATGTGCATATATACACATACATAGAAATACACATATACTATATTGAAGTGTATTAATATATATACACACATATTTGACTTGTCAATTCATAAAACAAAATTGAGAAGATTAATAAATATCATATATATAGTATAAGCCCTTTAAAACTGTTTTAAGGAATTAGTAAATTTTAATCATTATCAGAGTGCCAATGTGTTATTCACAGCTATGCAAACCATATGAAATTTCAGAGACTTCTTTTTGTTTCTCCATTGTTCTATTTTTATAATTTCCTTACCAGATAAATTCTCAGTGGTCTATGATGTAGTTAGTTTTCTTACCTGTTCCTTCTATGTCTCACTGGGAAACAGAGATATTGTCAATGTTGTAAGAATCAAAGGCATATTCATCTGGAAAATAAAGGAACACGCCAAATCCTTACTAAATCCCTTACTAAATCCCCAGCTGTCTGTACCCAGCTTGTGCAAGACAATATAATAAGCTCACTAGATCTAAGCTTTTCAATACTTTGCAAGGAAGTAAGCACTCCGTGGGTCATAAATCCATAAACATTCCATTAATATTTGCCCCTTGATAAAAACGCATTCAATTAATAAATGAAAGGGACAAAATTCAAATACATCTTGGCAAATTTCATATGAGACTCAATAAGAAACTGATAGTATCAACCTTCCACAGGAATGCTCTATGGTCTCTGCAATAGATTAGTAATTGTTTGGAATAGAATCTTTCCAAAGTTTCCTATAAAATTTCAGAATACCGTCCACTCCATTCTGAAGTCAAAATCCACTGAGCTAGCATGACATGGTCAGTCTTGACATGAGCAACTGTGACCACAACGAAAAAGACTTGGGGGCGTACTATGGCTTGTATGCCAAGTTAAAGGAGAGCCTTTTCACACTGTATATCCAAAACATCATAAGTATTGATAACTCTTAACTGGAAATTACCTCAAGCAGAAGCTGTACCACAGAGAAAAACAAGTCACTCATAGTAAAACTGTCTGTTTTCTAGTCTGAAGGTAGGTTGATTTTGGAAAATGTAGCAGCTCAAGCATGTTTTGTAGCTACTATATTCGTAGCCTTAGGCCACTGTCACTTGCCTACCTTTTGCATGGTAATTGTAGACCATGACTGGAGCTGGTTGAATGTTGGACACAAGGTTGCTTTGCTCAACAGAAAAGGTGAAACTGTTTGCTGTATCCAGAACCTGCAAAGACGCAAATTATAAATACATCATTGCAAGTCTGAAAGAGGAAAATGACTGAAAATTATTTGCAGAAGTTCATTATAAATCCAGTTAAAGTGATCTAGAGTGACCGTTATCATACATATGAGAAAAGTAAACTGACAAATTGTGTGAGATTTTAATTCCCATTTCCTATTGAAGTGCAAGGGATTTATGTAAAATTTTGTTTTTTTTTTTTTGTTTTTTTTTTTTTGTTTTTTCTCCGGTACTGGGAACTGAACTCACGACCTTGTGCTTGCCAGGCAGGCACTTTTGTTGCTGAGCTAAATCCCCAGCCCTTATGTAAAATTTTGGAGGAAGATTAATGTTTATGTGAGTAACACACAATCTTATGTGAATACACTTTGAAGTGGAATATAAAAAGTTAAATTCAAACATGGAGAGAGTACAGTGATAGTTACCAGGGGAGGAAAAATGTGGAAATTTTGGTCCAAAGTGCAAAGTCTTGATTATGTACAGTGAATGTGTTCTAAAGCTCTAATGTATAGTATGAGGTTGATAGTTGATAATAGTCTTTGCATACTTGAAACTTGTCAAGAATGTTGATCAAAAGTGTTTCTACCACATAAAATAGGTAATTATATCAAGAAGCAGAACATGCTAATTAACTTAATTAACCAATTTGGTATGTATATGCCTATCAAAAATCCACATTGTACACCTTAAAAATATTTAATTGCAATGAATTTTTAATAGATATGACAGCCTTCATTGATGTTCAAGTCAAGCTATAAAAGAATTATATAGCTACTGTGTAGACAAAATATGTTAGATAAGATGAGAAATGAAAATGTAAAGATGTATCTCAATTTCAGATTTGTCTTGTCAGGGAAGTAGAGCTTTTTATGTGAAATAAAATCAATAAGTGTTAGTGGGAAAGATGTTTTATGGCACAGAACACTTCTCATTTTTCATGTCCCATATTTTCATGATCTTCTCGTGTATAGCTATAAGAAACAGAAGCGTCTCACTACCCCTCAGAAGACAAAATAAATCCATGAAAGAAAGACAGTATTGCTGAACTCACATTTTCTAAGTAGAAAAGTACGTGGTTGTTCTTGACTTCTGTCTTCATTACACGGCCATTGTTTTCAAGCTTGAAAAAATTGGCAGGGATGGGTGGGGAGTAGATATTAAAACACATGAATGGACCTCGGCAGAATGAATCTCATGCTTTCTATTTTATCAGGTTCTGTTTAATGAGATTTTCCTTGTACTGTAATGTTTTCATAAGCACACAAAGAAACCAAGTAAAGAAACAGATTATGAACTTTGGGAAATAATAACTGTGTTTTGCTACAAATGAAGAACATCATCCCTCATGTCACATCACAGCAAAAATAAAACTGTGAACTTTGAGGCACATAGAAGTGAAGAATTCCATGGTTTTGTTTTATTTGATCTAAATGCACTATTCATTTCTCTGTACTCACAGGTTATGCTTCTATTGCCTACCTGCTCAATGGATGACATGACCGGGGTAAATCCTGAGAGCATCTTGACATCCACAAGGACCACACTGGGGTTATTGTGAGTCCCAGTATATCTGAAATGGAAAAAAGAAAAATCTGACTAGTTCATTCATCAATTTAGAAAATGACTTATGTCTTAGTGAGGCCAGAAGGTGTGGCCCAGAGCACAGGTGAAAATAGAAGTGGAGAAACCCAAGGAAAGCCAACCTCAAAAAACTGAGAAAATCACACTTGAGTGATGATGGATGAGGTGATACAAAGCAACACATGTTGGAGCACATAAGGAATTATCTGAGTGTAACATGTCCCAGATCCTGCTCTTAGGAACCTTATCTGAGATCGTAGAGTCAGAACTTACAACACACCTTGTTCATTTGTACATTGCATACACTCATGCTGGCCTTATATTTAGTCAACAAGGAGAGATCTTCCTTTCAAAGGCAGGAGAGATCTTCCTTTCAAAGGCAGTTGGTTGGGGAACACAAAGTGGCTGTGCCCCCAAGAAGTATTCTAGGTCTCCATCCTGCTTCTGCATAGCATCATTGGAAATGAAGTTAAGATTTCCACAATGTATTTAATTCAAAACTCTGCTATTCCAGAGATTTTATATTGGGAAATCTTAGGAAAAGTCTCCCACACTAATTTTACTCAGGATTACCTTACAAAACTTAGGCTAAAATCTTTTGGCCTCTGTAAATCTTATTTGAATTCATGAGGATTACTTTAAAAAGAGTGAAAAAAAATCCTGAAATTTTGCTCTTTATAAGTGTACAATAAACATGTGCTGACTGGGGATATAGCTCAGTGGCACAAGCGCCTGCTTGGCAAGCACAAGGTCCTGAGTTTGATTCCCGGTACCAAAAAACAAAACAAAACAAAAAGAACAACAACAACAAAAAATTTGCTGTCTTTCTACTCTAGGAATGGCTGAACTTTTACTGAGGAGGAAGTGGTGTGTCTCTGTTGTCCCAAAATGCCAGAACCTCTGTATGAAAAAATAAATGCACTGCCAGAATGTCACTGTAGCAAAAGTTTTCAAAGTATACATGCTGACAGTGTAAATTAATTTTGTTCATAACCCTCACTCTGATTTAGCTGAAGTTGTACAAAATATACAAGTTACATCTCTGTGTAATGTCTTCACAGAAACATATGAAGAGATAGTGTTGGATATATGTCACCATCATCATCATTATCATCCTAATCACCATCATTGTTGCAATTATTCCTATATTGTTTATCCATTCCTGTTAAAAATATTAATTTCTTGATATACTATGTCTCTAATTCTGGAGGTAATAACAGGCTTTGACACTTACTTGAGGGTCACTGTAAGGTCAAAATCAGGCTGTAACACATCTGAGGAGGTGTTCTTTACAATTTCCAAGGAAAGGGAAAAACCAGATGACTTTTTGGGCAGTGGAACATTAAACTTGAGGGTGGCCTAGAACAAATATGAAATAAGAGAGAACTCATTTTGTACTGTGAATTGAAAGATATATTATTTTACACAACATTTCTATTATTTATGTACTTTACAGATTTCGCATCAGGGAATCAGTCTAAACTGAATTTAGTTTTCATCAGACACAATATCTGTAACAACATTATTGAAGAAAGAGAGGATACTTGAAATAGAATTCTATTTATTCTAGAAATAGAAAGATAGATTACTTGAAAAATCTTGTACAATCCAGGTATATAGAAAGAGAGTACCTCCTCACAAAATAACTGACATTTTTTGTTATGGATTTGGAAACAAATGAGAGAAAGTGTAGAGATAAACATGGAATCATGCAAAAAGCCAAAATCTTGTTGCAGATATAATAACTGAACTGGATGCTTCACTGGCACACATTTTCCTCCTTTTGAGGAAGATTTCTGTTACCTGGATGAATACACAACCTTGTCCTTCCACATCAACTGTGTACTGCCCATCCGCTTTTGTCAGTTCTGAACGTTGGACCAATAAGCGGTTCTCCTTGTTAACCTGGAAAATCTCCATGGATTCTTCACTTAGAAACGTGACTGTGTTTCGGTCATTAGAGAAGGTTAATCTCATGTAGCTGGTTATGGCAAGAAGACAGACTGTGGTGTCCTGCTAAGAACAGTACAAGCTGCTGTAATACAATATCAGTCCTCATTTGACTACAACCTTTCAATAAATCTGTAGAAGTATTTCTGAAATAGGTAAACAGGACTCCTGAACAAAAAAACCCCACACATTTACTTGTCAAAATTGTTATCATGTAATTTTCTTCGAGGTATTTTTATTTTATTTTATGTTTCCTAATGATTTGATTATTTTATGTTTCCTAATGATTTGATAACATCTGCTCTTGAAAACAACACTGAAAATGACGGTGTTGTATAATTTGGTGACCTCACAGTAGCTCCTATGCTGCTCAACATCAAAGAAGAAAAGACAGAGGGCTGCTAGTTACTCTGCAGTTTGCAGCTGAGCTACCTCCTCCTTCCTCCCAACCTCTCTGCTTACCTCCAACTTTCCCTGTCTTCTTGGGGTCCTGTTCCATGTGCATTCTTTACCTTCCATGTTGCACAGAAAGCTGTTGAATCCACTACTCAAGAGCACCTGTCTTGTAGTCCCTTTCTGCCTAGTATTGTTTCCTGCCTTAACTCCATGCTGTATTCTTTGCTTTTGCTCTTGCTTCACCCTTCAGTCCCATTCACCAAAGTGGCTTTAGACCCTTAGATATTCTAGGATGTTATCTCCTGGAGACCCTGGCTTTGGACACTCCTCTGTGAAGTTATATAACTGGCAACTCTCTGACTAAGAATTTGCACTATATAAACCTGCAGGGGGTGGATGTGTCGTTGCATGCCTGTAATTCCAGCACTTGGAAGTTTGAGTCAGAAGAATCGCCCTGAGTTCAAGGTCAGCCTGAGCTAGAAAGAGAAACCCAATTTCAAACAAACAAACAAGCAAGCAGACGAAGTTGCATGGGAGCCCTGATAGATAATTTCTAAGAATGAAGGTGAAATTTCCACCAATACTCTCCTCTACCCCGACCCATTCCAGCTTTCAAAGTCTTGGGATCTAAAGTCCACTGGATCAGCTCTGCTGGGCAGACTCTCGAGGATATTTCATCAGAAGGGCTAACAGTCTGTGGGTCTAGAGCACTTGATGAGAATTTCAGAGGATGCTACCCTGGGAACAGTCTAAGCAATCCACTGTTCTGCTTCTTTCCCCTATCCTCAACATTTCTTCTGTCTTTTTTTATTCCCTTGGTTTCTACTTTGTTTTCCCTTTTCCTCACTCACTTTGGAATTAAAGTATATTTTCAACGTATATGTTGGATTTACTGACTAGAGTTTTTAATGGCTTTTTTTTTTTTAAGAAAGAATCAGAAGATCTTTGGAGATTCAGTCTATGGTTTTACTAAAAAACTAAGATTGTAAAAATGAGGAAAATGAGCATTTTCTTAGTAAAAATAAATCTGCATTTTTTGACTTTTGATATTCCCTGATAAAAAGAACTATTGGTTTATTGGTTAACTCATTTCTCCTGTTATTTCTTCTGCTCATGTTCCTTTTCCATTGCTTAGACCACAGGATTAGGAAGAAATCTTTCTTTTTGGTGGATGTGTATCCTGAGTATAGCATTGTCTGATATCTAAAGTCCAAGACTCTTCTGGCTATGCCAAAAATATATAGTACAATTACATTCCATGTTTGTTGTGTAAAGAAAGTTATAGACAAAAGGCCTCATTTTATTTATTTGTATATAGAGATTTCCGGAGAAATGACTGATATACAATAACTGTCCATCAATAATTGTTGACCAAATAAATAGGAAGAAAAAAATAAAATAGTCCTCATCCTGGAATGTGCACTTTGGTAATTATCTTTGCTAACTAAGCTCACTGTGGAGCAGAATCTTGTGCCTTAAGCACATTGTTATGTGCTTAGTCAGGCCCACAGCTGTCACCTGTGTGGAAGAGAAGCCTCCGTGGGAGTTCATCTTTTGGACCAGCCACTGCACAATCTTGCTCGCGTAGGTGAAGTCCTGAGTCCTCCGGGACAATACAGCCAACAGCACGTAACAAGTCTTCTCCATCTCACTAGGAGCCCAAGGACTTGAGGATGGGAAATTGTCTGCCTTGTCTTTCTGTTCCTTTTCCCAGTATATCACATTATCTGAGAAAAAGGAAGAACTTCACATTTTCACTATGAAAAAAATTTTATATGCCTTTGATAACAAGTCCTTATAAAGTTAGGCAATACAAATAGGTAATGGAAATTCCATTCTTGGTCTCTGCTTTGGGCTGAGTTACGTTCCCCTAAAATCCATTCCTGAAGCCTTCCCCTCCAGAACCTCAATGTGTATGTATTTGGAGATGGGATCTTTAAAAAGGCCGTAAAATTACAGCAAGTTTTCTAGGGTGAGGAGTCACCGAATCAATGGACCTTAGAAGAAGGGGAAATTTGTTCACACCAAAAAGCCCCCAGAAATTCACACACACACACACACACACACACACACACACACACACAGAAGAAAATCTATGTGAAGACAGAGGGAGAAGACATCCATCTACAAAAGAAAAAAACCATACTTCCTGACATCATGATCTTAGACTTCTACCTGAGAGAATTGTGAAGAAATAAGCTTTTGTTTAATTTAACCAGTTTGTGGCATTTTATAATTATAAACTGGCCAACAACTATAGTATCAACAAGCAACTCCTTAAGATAAAAAGCAGTTGCATAAGTAATTATTACTTCCTATAGCATGGAACTATGCTTGGTCTCTTTTACATCATTCATTTGAGATGGAACTATCAGAAAAGAAAAATAGTGAAATCTAAAATATATAATATTCTTTGAAGATAAGGGGACACTGATAAATAACAGCAAAGAAATAGAAATGTATAGGTGAAGAGGAGTTGAACATGATAGCTGAGAAAATTTCATCTCTTTGTTTCAAGTTTGTCTCCAACAAGCTGAAATGAAGGATCCAGCATACTTATTTTTGTGGCAGATTGATCCAAGATCTGAAGCAAGGTTTCCACTTGCTCTTCCTTTCCAGCTAATGCAAAAGTGTAGGCGAGGATTGCATGAGTGTAGCTGCTAGTAACACCCCTTTCTAAGGCATCTTCCAGGCAAAAGAGCCCATTTCTTAAAGCAGGAAACTAGGGAGAAGAAAAATATATTTTAAAATGGCACCTGAACATTTTACATACTATCTGAATATTCAAGCTGATCATTATTTCTAATGTATAGAATACATCCCTGAAGTACATGTTAAAGCAAATTTATTCATAACACTCATATGTAGTACACCTGAAAATATCATTAAAATGAATTTGTAATGTCATGATTAGTATGTAAGAAACAAAATTTTGTTGTAAGAAAATGACAGTTTTTCTATCCTTTCAATAACATTTTAGTAATGTGTCATCTATGTGAGAAACCAGAGAAATTTATTCTTATGAGCTAAACTATTTTACTTTGATGCCTTAGATAGATGTTTACATTTCTGTTGATGATTCTCAAGGTATGCCAGTGATCCTGAACATTACTAACTCTTAATTTAGGAATAGGTTTTGAAATCAGGTAAGCTGAACTGTTGATAGGGAGGTAGCCAGTCTAAATCCCATTTAGATTGGAAATGTTTTCACACTGGTTATATAGACAGAAATAGAATTTGAAGTTATAAATTTACTTAGAACAGAGTTTCTCCATCTAAATGTCTTGCCTGCACTTTATGTAAATACCTAAAATTATGTGAAAAGCTTGAGTGTGTGTGTTAAATATATTCTCCCTAAGGAAAACCCTGACAGTGTTTATCAAAGGAGCGTATGAATGAAAGTTTAAACAGAATCAATGTAAAGGTGGTAATGAATGAAATGTCCTCTCGATGCATTATCCAGTCTAAGAATATCAAATCACTCACAATGAGGTCTACTTAATGTGCATTTAGTGACTGAAGCCAAATGATGATTGCAAACCGTACAGTGGAGTTGAGCCCAGCTTCAAGGAGCATCACAATGACGGACGCAGTGAGTCCAATATCCTCTTCCTCTCCACCCTACGAACAAAGGAACAGGGGGTCATATGGGATGTAGGCACCAATGAAAGGCCGTTCTTCTGAAAGGAAGGGGGGTAGGAAAGAAATAATGGATCAAGGACTCTTGTTCATAAAAAACAGTCAACATGGATTAGGTTTTTCTTTTTTGAGGTGCTAGAGATGGAACTCAGGCATTCACAAAAGTTAGTCAAGTATCTTACCACTGTGGCACACCTGGGCCCCAAACATGTGTTATTTTAAAATTAGATAATCAATAGTAATGCTACTTGAGCAAGAATCCATTACAATCCAATGTACTCATAAGGCAAAAAAATTTAAATATATTTAATGGCATATTAACATTTATGTGGTTGGAATTATGTATGCATTCCTAGTAATTTCTACAACTTGAGCTGTATTTGATATTAATGTGTAAAAAGGAAAGAATTTTTAAAATTGAAACAAAATTTTTTAAAATTGAAAAAAATCCCTGTCAAAGTACTCTGGGAAGTTGCAGTAGTCAGTTAAGAAAGATTATTACAATACAAACTTAGAAAAGTCCACACATAATGGGGTTTGAACTGTACATAAATATCCCTTGAGAAACTTAAGCATTACATAAGGCAGGACTCACACAAAAGAATGTGATTTAAAAACTCAACAAGACAGGGAGATGATGGCAGTGATTCTGATACAAATAACATTGAGAGTGGCAACTGGGACCCACTGATCCAGTACAAACAGCTCATTTCTCCTATTTAAGCAAAACATGATGCTTTGTTTTCCTAGAAAAGGAATATTTCTGAGAAATTAAGATTTCAAGATGCAAATGGCAACAAATGGTGGACATGAAAATAAGATATGGTGATCTGTGTAGCACATTTCAAATATAGCGAGTGAGGTCACCATTCCTATGGAGTGTTTTTACTTTTCTCTTGCCTCTTTCTCCTAACTGAAAATACCCATCCACATACATCCTCACACATGTTTAATTACAGTTATCCATAGATACTCAGGGAGGGTAGGCTCCAGGACCACCTGGGGATAACAAACTCCATGGGTGCTATAATCTCATGTCATTTAAATTATCTCTAGAATCTTTATAACACCTCATTACAGTGTTATGTAAATAGTTCTTATACTGTTTTGTTTCACAAATATTGAGAAAGGGAGAATTTTGTACATGCTCAGCAGAGATGGTGCCCCTCAGGGCCTTCAAGTATTTTCAGTCCGAGGTCAGTTGACATCATGCCTGTGGTATCCATGGGTACAGATGGCTAATTATGCAGTGCAGAGAAAGGATTTGGTAAGATCAGGCAAAGGAAAGCATCAACAAGAAAGATGAACAGAAGACGTTGTAGAGAAGAACATGAAAAATTCTGATTTTTCTTCATACTGTTATCAGGATGAAGAAGAAGTTTAAATAATTTAAAGATATCCACTCCTTCCCAACAATGTGATAGGAAAATTAAATACCATAGATTTGCTGTTCATGTGTACTTTGAAGTGCATTAAATGGATAGTTTACAATCCAAGAGTAGGAAGGGTGATTATGAAGAACACAGAACAGAAGTCCAGGTTATTTCAGGGGATATCAGGGAAGGCTAAGGTGTCACAAGAAGGATTTTGAGCATTTGCAGCTTTTGGAATGCCCCTAACAAAGTTAGGGGAATAAAAGAGATAGAAGAGACATGAAGGTGGACAGCAACGTTTAATCTTCAAAGAAAGGTGGTGAGAAGGAAGAAAATGTTTAGTAATTTACACAAATATGGCCAAGAAAAGCTTAGGGGTAGATCCTGCCAAAAACATGTTTCACTTCATGTGCACTGTGGCCCAGAGCAGGCCAGTGTGCTTTTCTGAGAGTGGCACTGGAAGATCTTGCTTCTCTGAACAAAGTAAACTATCAGATAGTCTCCCTGAAACTTTCTTGCCAACAATGACTAGGAATTAATTTACATTCCTCATGCACTAGACTTTCTCCCTTACTTTAGTATTGTCTGGTTCTAAATTTATGGATGCACTTTCTCTAGGTATTCTCTTCTCTCCTATTTTCCACTTTGCTTACTACAGAGGATGGACTTGGTGTAAGGATTAGAGACTGAATAAGAGAGACAAAAGGCTTATGAGCCCTTATAGCCAGCCTATGGTTAAATATGCATACAGCGGGAATGCTACCATCAACCAGGACACCACAGGCTCATGACTACAGCAGACTCAGAGGGCATAAGATTCACATGAAAAAAAAATGTTCATGTTCCAGCTATGGTTGGCAAGAGCTAAGGGAAGGGAGGCAAATGCAGGAGTAGAAAAAGCCTCATTCTGTTAGTTACTCACCTCCCATTCATTGTTGGAAATATCATTACTTTCAAAGCAGCCATTTTCTTTCTGTTTGCTTGAAAGCCAGATTAAGGTCTGTTTTTGAACAGTTTTGTCAATGAATATATACTCCTTCATTCTCTCAAATGTCTCGTAAGTACGTGTGCTAAACCTGTAGTGCAGGTCATCAAAGCATAAGTGAGATAAAATGGAAATGATGATGTCAGCTACTTGTCAGTTTCCTCCCTATTGTTATTTTTGTGTAATGGATTCATTGAACTTCTCCAATGCTGTTTCTAACAAATCTTGAACAATAGTGGCTCTTTGGGGTCAGTGAAAAATTTGGAAGTTCTCTATGGAAATTAGAGTACCTAATTTGCAGGCTGTTTAGATTCAGATGTCTTGTTCTATAGTCCCTAAATTATGCATACGTGGAGAGTAACCTGTTATAATCAGATACTTTGGGGTCTTCTAGTTTAATTTTCCTGAACCAGCAGAGTTCTGTGAGAAGCAAATAGGAAGGTGTGCATTTTCCATGAAGTTAACCAACTACAGATATAAGCAGCTGCCATGAGATGCTCAGACAAGCAACTGCACAGGACTCCAGGTAGACTGTTGCAAAATTAGAATAATCAAATCTTCTGGTTTTATCTGATTCTTCTCTGGAAATTCACTTTGAAGCCACTTTTCTGGAAAACTTCCACTGAATTGAACCCCCACACCTTCTTGCAAGCCCTCCTCAGATGGTTTCTGTGTTATTGAAAATAAAATTATAAGCTCTCACCATATGTTTCCTTCTTTATTCCTCTGCCAAAACATACTATATGAACCATCAAAGTTTTTGAAAGACAACTGCTTTTGATAACCTGAAATACAACACAGTAGGAAATTACTTTTTAATCTAAGAAAGAAAAACAAAAAACAATGTCGGACAAACTCTGAGTTTTGCTGTTAGACATAAGAAAATTCCTAGGGTAATACTTTCAAGTATAATCTCTGAAATTTATATCAATATAAGTTCTCTACATCTAATGAAGAAAAACTAACTCCACTTTATAAGATATGGATGACAAATAACATACAAATATGCCTAGCTTACAAACTGGCTTATTGGTACTTATTAATTAATACTTCTGTTTAACATCTTTTTACTTCATCCAGTTTTAACTTTCTGAAAAGAAGAACTCTAGAAATTTCCTCTGGACTTTTCTTTGATATCACATTTTACAGTCCAAATACCCTCTTTCTACATTTTTTGGTACCGGGAATTGAACTCAGGACCTTGCACTTGCCAGGCAGGCACTTGTGCCACTGAGCTATATCCCCAGCACCTCTTTCTACATTTAGCTCAGATCACTTCATTGCAAGAGAATACAAATAAGTGAATATACCTGGAAGTCAATAAATGAATTATTATAACAACTATTAATAATAACAACAACCAATGTAGTGTGTTAAAATATTAGGCATTAAAAATCACTAAGTTCGTAATTTGAAATGTTACAATTCTAAATTATGAAGTTAAAGGGCCATACAAATTTTGACATATAAAATGAAACAGCTAAGACTGAATAGTACATAAGTTTAGGTCCAGTTTTGCTTTAGCAGACTACTACAATAATAACAGCTTTATGATATCTTAATAATAGGAAATGTGTATTTCAGCTATTATAGGCAGAAATTACTTAAGTCATCTCACCGTTAGATAAGAGAAACACTGCCTTAGATTTAACTTCCTCTGTCAGTTGCTTTGTAGCTCTCAGGTAGTCGAGGACATAGGTATTGGCAGCTAGAAGGGCAATATTCTGTTCTTCCCATCCATAAGGCATTTGGAGAAGACTCTCCAGATTCTGCATTGCAACTCCTAGAATATCCCCTAAAGTAGGAGAAGCAGAGAGTCATATTGTTATAGTTGTCATCTCTACATTAATAACCGTATGGTAAAGAAGAATGGTGTAAGTAAGAAGTGTTCTGAATTGAGTCTAAAAGGTGGAATTTGTCATAGCTAAATCTTGGAAACAACTCAAATGCCCACCGACAGAGGAATGGGTAAAAATGTATGGTATTTGGCAGTCAAGCCCAACAAAGTTATGTGATATTAAAATTGCTAATGTTTTATATGTGAAAACAAAGTTGGAAAAGTTTTATAAAGTATTGTAAAGGGAGAGAGCCATGAGTGATAAACTAAAGGGGTTTCTGGTATGAAAAAATATTTCCGAAAATCTCATTACCAGACAAAACAGGAAGCTAGGAAAATACATTTGTTTGCTTGTTTGCTTGCTCTCTTTCTTGTTTGGTGTTTGAGAAGCTGACCCTGTGAAATATAAATTGCAATCCATCCCTCTCTGAAAGGTGTTAGTGACAGAATGTGTTAATGATGTTTGTCTTTTAGAAAGTATCTCCCCCTTTAGAGGAAAATCACAATACCGTTAACATGCATAGCTTATTCTGATTCCTGAAAAATGAGTCTAATATTCAGATTAAGGATTATAATACAACCTTTTGTTTTCTGAATACCAGTTCTCTACCAGGACTAGTGTTTCATAAGGACATAGATTTGGAGATGGATCCTTTAGATTCTGTACGGAAACAGGTATCTCCTGGTCTGAACAGTAATTTTCTCCAATTGATATCTAAGAAAATATCTTCATTTGTTCATTTAGAAACTTTTGAGACCACCTCAGCCAAGGCTTTTATATCAATATGGAATGAAATTTAATCAATTTACCTATGACAATTAAAAAGGCTCTGGCAGATCCTTCTACTATATCATTTGGCAAGTCCAACACTATCTCCTTGGAGGCCTTGGTACCTGAAAAGAAAAACTACCATTAAAAAAAAAGACTTCCTTTTATAAAAAATAGCAGTAGATTTTAGGAACAAATATTTAATATGTTTCCAGTATTTTATTTTTTTATATAAATTATTTGTTATACAAAATAAGTTTGAGGACTTAATCAAGCTTAGAATAGCAACATATTAAGAAAATGGTGCATGTGTCTGGGTCTCCATCCTCCACTAATTTAGAGTCTAAAATATTTATATGTGGAAAAATATAAAAAGTTAAAAACTACTGACCATAATATACAAAACACACACACACAAAAAGTACAGCTTACAGAGTCTGATTGTTAAAATGGGATCACAATGAACTAGATGAAAGAGTACATTCCATAGACACAAAGCGGTCAATTGAGGGTCAGTAATATATCTATGGATTATTTAATCCTAAAAGTACCAAAGCAAAGATTATATTATATAGTATTACAACACACTCCTGATTTTCCATTGACCAACATTGTGTGATGACTCTATACTAAGAGGAGTGAAGAATATACAAGAGGAGAAAAGTAGATTGATGCAGAAAAGTGCCAAAGCTTTTAAAAATATTTCTTAGGCATATTTTTTTATTGGCTAAAATTATACAATGAAGATCATACATGAGACAATGTAATCTAAGAGAAATTTAGAATGAATGAAAAAGGCAAGTGGACTAATGTATAGGGAGAGGAAAGAAACTAACCTGGTTGATAAAATTTCTTTGAGACTAATCCTCTTACCTTTCGTACAAATAAGAAAACTCTGGGTCATTTCTTTCTCAATCCCTTCAGGCTGTCAAAAAGTAAGCAAATAAACAAAGAGTAAACATTGAAACAAAGGCTCTGCTTCAGCTTTCCATGTGAAGCAATCATCAGCTCCCTTCGGGACGACCGGCCGGCCAAGTTTATCACTGGCCCCTCTGTTTGTATCTAGACGTCACTGCACACTACCAACACCCTTAGGTTGGACACTGTGTGATGCTCTCAATGTCTCCGCATCTCTCTAACATCTTCAGAGGACTAAGGAAGTGTCCTGTAGAGACATGCCAACAGGTCAGGCAAGGATGCTCCCTGCCAAGCACTGAGCCCTGCTGAGGATGACGGCAGCTCACTAGGAGAAAAGGATAAGTCAATTTGCCTTTGCATTTGAGGATTACTAGGAAACAAAAGGGCAGAGGAAGAGATATCCAGGAAGCACCAAGCATCCCCAGTGGAAAAATTTCATCAAGCCTGTGTTGAGTAAGTTTTACTCTCTAGTGTGAGGTCCTAAAGGCAGGGTGAAATTAATGCTGTTTGAATTCCATTTAAAAGGGCACACTTCATGTCAAAATAAGCTTGAGAAATTAATAAAGTCTTTTCCACAATGTGTTTCCAAATTTAACCTCCTGGGTGCTGCCTGTTTCACATCAGGAGAAGCAAGAGGGTTTTGCGTGTACACACCTCTACCAATATGCTCTTGACCACGACGTCTTTCCAGTTCACATTTTCCTCTTCAGTTGCTTTATTTCGGCAGGAGCTGCTTTGTCTGGACTGTGCAACTACAGTGATATCTACTTTACCTGGAAAGTATTTCCAAATGCAAGTTAAAGTGACTATTGGCCTTTGCATAATGGGAAATGATTTCAAAAGTCTGTGAATCTTACTTTGAATTGGGTGAACCAAATTCTATGAAAACATTAATGCTTTAGACCAAATTATTTGTTTTACCTCCTGCATGGAGATAATTTAGGATGTTTTATTTCATCCATTTTAAGATGCCTCCTATTAAGAAATCATTTATTTTTATTAATTATCTATTTTTATTATATTTATTTAATTAAAACAAGAAATTTTAAGAAAAATGACATCTTACAAAGCCATCTGAGCCAATTATTTAATATTGTTTATAAAGATAACATATAATTTCATAAACATATAACATCAGCTAACTGGGACTCCTAGCATTTCCCAGGATCTAACAAACACAAATAGTATAATATGATACAGCAGAAAAGAACTGGGTTGACGTTAAGGACTAGAAAAAAAATCCATTGTGGTTTTTTTAACTTCCTGTGATACCACATTATGTAAATAAAACTAATCTTCATTTTCCTTATTTATAAAAATTAGAGGATTAGAAAAATACTTGTGAGGCTTAATATTACCTATGTGCCTATGCACGTAACCAGTTATACTGTTGGTTTCCTCAGACAGAGTGTTTTGCTCATTATTTCTTGGTTTCAGAAAGCCTTTGATACTCTACTCTTACAACTACAACCTCCAAATGCAAAAGGGAGCAAATTTTACAGTACTCTGTTTCAACATTGGGTGATATTTTTGAAGATACTGCATAGGAAAAAGATAAGGCAGTTTAAATCTAATAGGAAAAATAATTTGGAGGCAGATCTAAATCACAAGTGAATTAAAATGATCATATATATATAGTTACTAAAACATTACAGTGTATATGGAACAGAAATAAATTTTAATGATTCAATTTTCAAAATTACTCATACTGAGTATCATGCATATCACAGTTAGCATTCTTTGTTTAACTTTTTCCTTCCACTATATCTTCAGTAAGATTCTTCTAAAAGTCTGTTCTGTTCTGTTTTCTGTTTTATTTTCACTTTTGCAGACAGGTCTCATTATCTACTCCAGACTGGTCTCAAAATTTGCAATATATCTACAACAGTTTCCCAGTACCTGGGACTGCAGGTGTGTCCCGCCACACACGAATTAAATCTATTTTTCTGTGTTGCAGATACTACACACAGAAAGGCAATATTCTTCTAGGACTTTGATCTAAGTGTTCTGCGTTTTTCATGCTCCTTAATACAGTGAGGAAATTTCTAGTTTCAGAAAATCCCATAATTGATGATCGTGATTGAGAAGCAAGTTTTGCTTAAGTGGAATTTTTGTATAAATTGTGGGTGAAGAAATAAGTGTGCAAAGAGTTAAGGCAATATTAAGGAAAATACAGCCTTCATTTAGGGTATGATGTGTGACATTTTAGGGTATGCAAACTAGCATTTTTATTGCATTGTAGTCATACTATGCTAATTTTGCAAATGACTGATGATTCTGCTCTTCACAACATTAGCACCCATAAATTAGATTAGAGAAGCAAGTGTTTTAAATAAAGAAAATTCAAAAACAACTAAAAATGTGAGGAATAGATTTAGGTTTGTTTAGCAAATTTATGGATAATAGAGGGTTAAAAAAGACATTTTTCCATGAGGAATTTGCGTGGACACATAGCCTCTTACCCAGGTTTTGAGGTATAAGAGTCCAGACATATGTTTTCTTCTCTCCAGCCTGGATAATCTCATTCTTATTGCTCTTCAGGGTGTTAATACTGGCTTCATAATCCTGAGATGTTTCCAACTGAACAGATATCTATAAAAAGAGTCATGGTAAGGAGGGCAGCCCTGTAAATACTTTTATATTACTGTTGTCATCTTCAGGAAATTATACCTTACCTATTTTGTTCTAAATAGTTTGAAATAGTTGTTCTATCTAGTTTGAAAAATTAACTAGGAACTCCATTTTTCCTTCTAGGTGTCTTGCTGAAAGAGTTAAACACATCACATCACAGCAATACATATATAGTGATGTGTAGAGCAGTACAATTCAGAATAGGCAAATCTTGGAAATGGTCCATATGTACATCGACAGATGATTGGATAAAGAAAATACAGTATTTACACTCCATGAAGGATGAATTTGACTTGTTTACAGGAAAATAAATCCACCTTGAGACCACAATGTTAAGAGAAATAAAACACACACAAGCTTAAATACTGTATAGTTTCTCTTACATGTGACATACAAAATATAAATAAAGAGGAAAACAAAATATAGGTGATAGAAAGTAGGAGATAGATTTTGTTCACTGAGAAAGAGGCTCAAGAAATGGAAGGCGGGGAGAGGGTGGAGACATGGAGAGGATAAAAAGGATTTAAGATTTGCTATGTATGTATACCAGCTTTGCACAAGGAATGAGTGCATTATGTAATGCAAACATGTACTAATAAAAAATAAAAGCTGAAGAAAAAGATACTCAGTTACTCTTTGCACAAGAAGCCACATATGGTGGAATGTCCCTCATCATGAAATGTCATTCTCAAAGCAATACTCAAATCAGCGCTGCGAATTAATGCAACCGCTTTTGTTTGGGGAATGTGAAATTGGGGCCATCTCTTTATAATATCATTCTAAGACTAGAGCAAATATTCAAGGAAAATATTAAGAAATCTTTTAGCTTTGTCAGACTTTTGTCTCCAAAGCAGAGGGAGTAACTTACCTCCGCACACGTGTTCAGGTAACTGAAGACACTGACAATCAAATCACATTGTTCGTTTCGAACAACTGAGACCGGTGAAGCAATTTCCACAAAGAAAGCCTGGGAGACTCGCAGAGAGACTGTGGAAGAGATGCCAAATCCAGCCTGGCCGTTCACACAGAAGGCACTTGCCTCCCATTCAGTCAGAGAGTCGGGGGTGACGAATGAAAGATTCGCTGAACCTGAGGAACTGCAAAGAGAGATTGCTGATAAAACGCATTCTTTATCTAAATGATGAACCTGAATGTAGTGCTGAGCAAGAAAAATCTACCCACTGAAGTTTAAAAATGAGTTACAGTGTTTGGATAGGGCACGAGATAAAAATCTTGAGAGCTGAATTTCTATAAAATTTAACCTTAAAAACCAGGCATGGTGGCACACATCTGTACAGCACTTGGGAGGCTGAGGCAGGAGGATCATTGCAAATTCTGGGCCAGCCTGGCCTAAAAAGTGAGCTCAAGGCCAGCCTGAACTGCATAGCGAGACCCTGTCTCAAAAAGAAAAAAATTTAACCTTAGAAAAGTCACATTTCCTTAAATGTTATTTTTTTTTAAGTTGGGGCAGTTTACATTGGCCAGTGTGAAATTTATTGGCAACAAAATTCTGGTTAAAAAAAGTAAGAAAAAGAACAATTAGAGAAAAACTAAAATAGGATCAGTATGTTTAACCAAGTGTGATTGTATGTTTCACAAATATGCCAAGGAATAGAAGTTAATAAATAAAAGACAAAATAGAAATAAAGACATATATGGAAGGAAGCTGCTAAAATAACTCACTCAACACTGAAGAGGTCCCATATCCACGTCTCAGGGAAGTTTGTTCTGACGGTTTCTATTATAGCCTGTTGTACATGGCTGGCACTCTCTCGCAACTCAAAATCTGTAAGAAAAAGAAGCTTTATTGATGGGGAATAAAAATCTGTATCTTAATGATGTGCCTTAAGTGAAGTGTTTTGCAACACATGACTAGCTTGCATTAGCGTGAAAGCAAAATGGGAATTTACTCCTGGGGTTCAAATGCTGGTAAATGTAAATCTCAACCTGGGTGTCAATATTGTGTAGCTCAAATATCTACTGTTACAAAAAGGAGCAAAGGATGAACCAAATGACAAATAATCAGCTTGTGCTTTCTCTCCACAGTTAGCCTACTCGTTGAAGTTTCTCAGCCAGTATATGGACATCTGCAAATTCTGCTGGCTAGCATCGCTTTTGCTAATGATTTCAATGACATTCGTATTTTGAATTTTCAAGAAGACTGTTTCACATCCATGGTCTTTAGGCTGCATTGGACCCACTGTATCACTGTGCCCTTTTCTAAATCACTATCCTCAAGTTGCATAACACCACCACATCCTTCCAGTTTTCTTTTCTCTTTTGAAGGATGTAAACTCTTGGGCTTGGTCTAAGAGCTGTTTTAAATCCTTCTCTTACTGTACACCATCTCTCACTGAAGCCCCCTGCCAGCTTCAATAGTTATCCTAGTGCCTCCTCAGCCATTCTTCTACCTGGACCCTTCTCAGATCCTAGACTTACCTGTGCGTCTTTGCAAGCATTTCTTGTGGCTACTTTACAGAGATTACAAATGCAACTCCTCCCAAAGTGAACTCATTCTGTGTTCTCCCTCCTTCTCCTAGCATCTCTGTCCTCCAGGAAGGGTATCAAAATCTCATCACTTCCCCAAGTCAGAACCTCAAGCATTGTCTGACTCCATCTTGTCCTGTGTGTCCCTAACTCATGAAGCTGCAAATACCATCTATTACTTCTTGAAAACAGTCATATATCTATCCACATTTCTCTACTTCTGCCTTTTTATTGTTGTCCAAAGCTCACTGTTGCTTAGCTGAATTCCTGACATGTGTCATTTCAAACATTCTCCCGCAGCCTAGATCCCAAAGCCCTTTTCACAGAGCAGTTAATGTTTAAAAATGCATACTAGATTGCCTGCTTACAGATGATCAATAGTATATTATTATAATAGGACAATTCCAAACTCTGTAAATGCCATGTAAGGCTCTCCTGATCTGTCTGTTTATGTCTCTTGCTTTAGGTGTCTTTACTCTTACCTTAAACTACATCTCCTGCCATTCAGAAGGGCTTGTGATTTCTTACCTCATCTTTCATAGCTCCACCTTCTTTCTTTGGAATGACTTTCTTTTTTGTGATACCTTTTGTCTCAATTCTAGTGCTACTTCCTCCAGGAGTACAAAATAGGCCTTTGAAATTAAGTCTGTTCTATTTAATATGTACATTTAAAAAATGTAATACATGTCTACGTCAATCTCCTCCTCACTGAGACAAAATACTGGACATCCACAACTTAAAGGAGGAGAAGTTTATTTTGCCCAAGACTTGTAGTCCACAGCTGCCTGGCTCCAAGGCAGAAAGGTACTGTGGAAGGGCCTGGGTGGAGGTGAGCGGCTCATGTATGGCAGCCAGGAGGCAGAGTGTGAAGGAGGAATGAAAGAGGGAGGTACACCCCACCAGGCCAACCTCTCAGGCGCTATCTCTTCTGGCGAGGCCCCCTTCTTAATAGCATATTTAATTATAACACAAGTGTGATTTAATTACTCTTCAAAATCCCCACCTCTGAATTTATGAGGCTATGAGGGGGGTCCACACATAAACCTAACAATGTGCTAGTCCTCTGTTTGGGGATTTATCTTGTCAGTGTACTTACATCATGCACATCAGTTCCCATTCTCAATAAATATTTGATGAGTAAATAAATAAATGAATGATTGAAGAAAGAAGAGAATAAAATGAAGGATGCTGGGTTTCAGTAAATATTATCCAGACATATAAGAACAGTTTAGGACTGAGAATATAGCTCAGCAGCACAGCACCTTCCTGGCAAGCTCGAGGTCCTGAGTTCAATTCTCGGTACCCTCCTCCAAAATAAATAAATAAATAAATAAATAAATAAATAAATAAATAAAATAAAGTTTAAATGTTTCTGATAAAGCTTACTAAATATGGTCTAATCTAGTAGTGAAGGTCAGGGGCCCTAATCAATTGACCAGAACTGCAAAGTGGCTTGAACTTTTGGACTTTATGGGGGTCTCTTGAATATTCACTGACTCCATCCTTTCAAAAAATTGTCAGGCCCTTATGTTCCTCCAGTGGAATTTCTGACACCCATCTCCAGGATGAAGCCCACTTCAGTCACAGAGCTAGTCCCAGTGAGAGGCCAGAGGAACTGAAGCAATGCTGCTTGAGTACTTTCAGAGGCATTTAGAATACAGCTTTCCTTTGAGGTCTGTTATGATGACCTGGCTCCATCTGGCTTCCCTGACTGTATTTCTATGTACAAAATCTGTGTGCCTACATTTTTCTTTCTAGCAGTACGGTCAACCTTGAACTTTCAGTTCTTCTGCCTGAAAATGGACTAGCATTGGGATTCCTTTCTCTGATAGCAGTTGTTTTACTATCAGGGTGTCAAAATGCCCTCTGCCTTTGACTCTCTGTATTTTGGTCGCTACGTAGTAAGGAAGTAAAGGACTCTTCCACCACAGTCACAGTAATTCTCCTCCTGCATCCCTACACATTTCATGTTGCTACACACATACTTTTGATACTGTTTTACTGATAAATTTCCTGGCATAGTTGAAGCTAATTATTCTTTATACTCAAAACCATTTCTAGCCTATCTTATTCTGCTTTATTGACCTATAGGATGTTCAGGTGTAACCAAAAACATGTCAAGACTCCAATTTTTTATGGTTTCATCCAAATAGCCCCAATTCTAAGAACCCACTTGACTATGCCCTCAGCCCCAAACCCTGCATTGCTCACTTGCCACTGCAGGTGCGGCATATTGCACATATCTCTCTTCTCCGAGATACAATGGCCTGAGGTACGGCTGACTTCCGTCCATCGTACATAGCTCTGGTTTTCGGTAGTGGAGATTAGTAAAGACTTTCAGACCCATGTGCTTTGAAAGAAACAAAGAAAAAGTTGGGCATTCCTTTCATGCAAGGACTGTCAGAGCCCTATCATTTTGTAATAATAAAGAAAGCATACATCTACATATTTGCTGTGCTAACAAGCCTCTAGTATCATAGAAACAAAGTCAGCTCTGTTTGATTTAAAGCCCTAATTTAAGATAAAAATGATAGTCAGTGTTACCATGTGCTACTATTTTACTAAGTACTTTGCATAATTTTATATTCAGTTTTAAGGGAAAATGAAATTTGCACTTTTTTTGGCTTTTTCATTTGACTGTTCCTGTGTCAAATGAATAACTTGCAGAATAATTTCAATAATTCTAACTTGAAGTTTATAACTTTAATCACACAATTTATTTTCAATAGAAAAGAGAAAAATCAAGAAAAGTTAATATTTCTCTTTCATAAGAAAATTTTTGGTACTTTATTATCAAATTATAGAAGTTGAATCTCAACATATCAGAAGAAAACTGCAATTAATGAAAATATATATGTATTAGTAATACTAAAATTAAAATTGATGTGTAATATTTAAAATATCTTCAGTGATCTTACCATGAGAATCTCATAGGTGTCCCCATCTTCCAAGCTGGGTACAGGCATGTAATACAAACCATTGTAAAACATGTTCTTCTGGGGAATACAAGGCTCTGCCCTGCCATCATCAAGGTTGAGACCATTGTAGAAATAACCATATAGTTCTGTATATGGAAGCATGTTGTACACCTAGGAGAGAAAGAACAGAGATTTTAAACACTTTAAAAAAACTTATGGGATTAGAAAAATTTTGGCCACAATGGTTTATTCTTTTTCTTTTCTATAAGACAGTGAAAATCATACTGTAATTCAATAATTTTATTCAACTTCTTCAAAAGAGAAAAGTAATTTTACTTTAGGCAGTTGTTATGGATTGTGTTTAGATATCCCCTGAGGACCTCATGTGGTCATAGGTGGGACTTTTCAGAGGTGGCTGAATCTAGAGTGTAAAATGCTGGAATTAAGGGTGTAATGCTGGGACTGATTCATGGTGCATGCTAGGATTAGGGGTACCCCACCCTGGGTGTGAATGCTACTGCCCTAAGTGTGGGTAGCCTCAATAGGACAGAAAGAACAGGAAAAAAAAGCTGCTGTTGCTGCGTTTCACTTGCTGCTTAGCTACTTCTCATTTTGATACCTTGCTACTATCTGCCTTCTGCCTGCCATGAACTGTTTCTCCTCTGCCGTGCCACTCTGCCTTGGAGCCAGCCACCTATGAAGAGAAACCTCTACAAACTGTAGGCTAAATAACACTTTCCTCCTTTAACTTTGAGTGTTAGATATATAGTCTCAGCAATGAGAAAAATAACATATAACAGTCAATGCCATGTTCATTAATTTTTTTCAAGAATAGTTCAGGATTTGGGAGAGCATGTAAAACAGATACGGCTTAGGTTTATTGATGAATCCAAAGATAATTCATAGATAATTGATTGGAATTATAATGCTAGGACTCCCAGCTCTGGAGGAAAATGTTAGCCTTCTGATTTAAAATCTTTTTACATAGGGGCTGGGGATTTAGCTCAGC